TGAGGCAGGAGGATCGCTGTGAGTTCAAGACCGGCCTGGGCCACATAGTTCCAGGTCAGTCTCAACTACATAGTGAGACCCTGTTTCAAAACACTAAAAGCTAAAAAAAAATAATAAATAAATAAATAAATAAAATTTGGGCCTTTGTGAGGTGATTAGATTTGGAGGAAGCACAAGAATAGGGGGCTTTATAATGGTACTTTCACCTTATAAAAGGAGACACTAGAGAATTTGCCGTCCCTGTCCCTCTCCCCTTTCTGTCTTCCCCCTCACCCTCCCTCCCTCTTCCTCTCCCCCTCTCCCTCCCCTTTCCCCCCGTTTCCCCTCCTTCATTCAAACAAAAAAAAAAATCATATGAGCATTAGCTAAACAGCAGCCAACTGCAGCCCAAGAGCACATCTCTCACCAGAAACTAACTAGATTGCTACCATGATCTTGGACTTCTGACCTCTAAAACTATGAAAAAATAAATTTCTATCACCTAGTCTGTGGTGTGTTATGGCAACCTGAGCAGACCAATGCAATCATTGAGCACCAATAGCAGCAGGGGTGTGTCCACGTAGCACCCAGGACATACCTGGCCGTCCTGCCAATAAGACTGTCTAAGGCAGTGGTGGTGAACCTACAGCACCTGTGCCACAGTGAGCTATTTGTGTTCACTGAAAGTTCTAAAAGGCTTGCCATCACAGGTCTTGGGAGTAGATACTGTAGCCCCTAGGAAACCATCCCAGTATTGGAAACACTGAGCAGAGACTGTTACTTCCATTGATCTCTGCCCAAATTGCAGAATTATGAGCAGAGAAATTCAATGGTTCTGTTTATTTTAAGCCACTCTATTTTACCAACGTAGTGTATTACATTTATTGATTTATATAAGTTGAACCATCCTTGCATCCCTGGGATAAATCCAACTTGGTCAGGGTATATGATCTTCTTGGTTTTGGGGGGTTTTTTGGTACCGGGGATCGAACTCGGGCCCTTGTGCTTCCAAGGCAGGCAGCGAAACCACTGAGCTAAATCCCCGGCCCAGTATATGATCTTGATGACCCTCTGTATTCTGTTTGCCAGAATCTTACTGAGGGTTTTTGCATCTATGTCCATTAGGAAGATTGGCCTGTAGTTCTCTTTTTTGGTTGCGTCTTTCCCTGGTTTTGGAATCAAAGTAACACTTACTCCCAGGAATGAATTTGGAAGTATTGCTTCCCTTTCAATTTCATTGAAAAGTTTAAAGAGTAATGGCAATAGTTCTTCTCTAAACGTTTTATAGAATTCAGCAGTGAAGCCATCAGGACCTGGGTTGGTCCTTGTTGGTAAATTTTTAATTATATTTCCAATTTCACTGATTGTAATTGGGGTGTTTACAATTTTTTATCTTCTTTGTTCAACTTTAGTAATTCATATGTATCTAGAAATCTGTCCATGTCTTCTGTGTTTTCCATTTTATTAGAGTACAGGTTCTCAAAGTAGGTATTGATGATCCTCTGGATTTCTGCTGGATCTGTTGTGATTTCACCTTTTTCATACCTAATTGCATGGATTTGAGCCTTTTCTTTCCTTTTTTGATAAGGTTGGCTAAGGGTTTATCCATTTTATTTATTCTTTCAAAAATCCAACTCTTTTGATTCATTTTTTTTTTGTATCATTCTCTTAGTCTCCACTGCATTGATTTCTGCTATTCTTTGTAATTTCCTCCCTTGTATGAGCTTTGGGTTTATCTTGTTCTTCTTTTTCTAGGAGCTTAAGAGTCAGCATTATGTTCTTTATTTGAGCTCGCTCTGTTTTCCTAGTGTGCACATTCACTGCTATGAATTTCCCTCGGAGAACTGCTTTCATTGTGTCCCACAGATTCCTGTATGTTGTATTGAAAGCCACTATATTTTAGGTGTTACAAGAGCAATAGATACCTGAGACAGCAGAGGTTAAAAAATATATATATTGCTATATTGTAGATTATTTGTTCCCTTCAAGGTAATTAATAAGGACAAGTAAAGAATTTGAATTATTTTGAAATTTCAATTTAAGTTGCTGGAATATGTTTGAATTTATATCACTTTGAGAGTGAACTATGAGTGATGACTTTGACTTCATGATCAGGATACAAAACAAAGAGCCTCTGTACTCCATGGACAGCTGAAACAATGATTATATGGAAAATTAGGAAATGTGATTAAAATCTTAATAGGGCATAGATATGAAATAAAAATGTATATCCCAAACAGATGTGACATGTAATGGTTCTATGTCCTACCAGTCCTATAAAATACCATTTTAAAATCATATAAATTGATTGATGGTGCCAGGCATGGTGGTGCATGCCTGTAATCCCAGCACTTGGAAGGCAGAGGCAGGAGGATTGCAGCAAATTTGAGGCTAGCCTGGGCTTCACAGCCAGCCTGAACTACAGAATGAGACCCTGTCTCAAAAAAACCAAAAAATAAAAATAAATAAATAAATAAAATAGAACTCCTAAAACTTAGTGGTGCATGGAAAGGATCAAGACATAAGGATCCACATTACCATTATTACATATAGGACAGGCACAAAGCCTACCTTTTTTCTACAAACTGCAGCATTCAAAACTAAATGTTTAGTTTGGAGAGCCTCAGTGACAAATCAAACAAATGTTAATTTTTTTTATTTTCATCTTCACTTCAATTGTTCATATCTCAGTAATTATACCAGAAAGCACCAGGTTATCTTCAGAAATTCTGGGTACATTTCCCTCATTCTGGACAAACTAATAACAGTTAATTTAAAAATATGGTTCCTCTGAAGGTGGAGTAGAGCACCATACATTAAAGCAAATGTCCCTTGTTTTCTTCAGGGACACAGCCAAATGACCCCTCTGGTTTGGTTTATAGCAGTTCTTTGTAATAGCTTCTTTCTGAGGCATGAATAATAATAAGCACCAGCTCTTCTTGTAAGGAAGACTCCAAAATCTGCTGACCTCTTAGGATTTGATATTTTGAAATTAGGACACTCTTAGGAATTATTTAAAATCAGAATCTTTTAATCTGAATTAATCTGGTGTATACCCCAGGCTAGGAGGACCATTTGGTAGTTAAACCAAAAAGGTCTGAGTGAGTAGGGCTCTGAATGAAGTTTTGCCAAACCATAGAAGGTTAAATCTGTTAGGGCTGCTGATCTCTGCTGGGGGTATATTTGACAGATGCAAACTGTTTTCCCTTCCCAGTCTTCAATCTATAGATTAGATTAAATATCACCAAGCCCTGTTCAACCTCCACCATCAGGAAGAAGAGTTATGCTACCACTATATAATTGTACTCTCTTATCCCCAATTTCTTTCCAAAGAAACCATGTGACATTACAGAAGTTTAATACAAGTCACATAAGGTGCTAATATCTATGTATACTGTGTGTGTCTGTGTGTGTGTGTGTGTGTGTGTGTGTGTGTGTGTGTGTGTGTATAGTGCATGTAGCTCATATCTACATATAAACTCTGTGTAAGATTCAGGCCAGAATGAATGAATGAATAAATAAATAAATAACTGCATTAGCAGTTTGGGGTTTTGGACATATTAAAATAGTTATTTTGGGCCAGGGATTTAGCTCAGTGGTTCCGGTCCCTGCCTCGTAAGGGCCCAAGTTTGATCTCCGGTACCAAAACAAAAAAAGTTATTTTAAGGCAGAGATGCCTACTTGTCTACCAAAATAGCCATTCTTCCCTTGTCTCTCAATTTAGCATAAAGCTCAATAGTTAGCTAAGAATATAACTTCACAGATAAAAGATTATATTTCCCAGCCTGTTTCCACTGTGAGGTCATGTTACTAAGGTCTGGCTAGTGAGAGATAAGAAATATGGAGAGGGGACTTCTGGGAAGTCTCCTTAAACAGGAAGGATCTACACTTCTTTGCTCCTTCTTCTGTTTTGCCAGAAAATGGCTGTGATGGCTCAAGAGGGAGTCAGCACTGGGACACTGAAGATAAGGACAGTAAGGGCCACTTCCTACTAATGGTAGGACAAGGACCCCAGTGACTTCAGGGTCCTCAGTTTGCTTCCAGACTTCTATACAAGAAATAAACTCCTATCTTGTTTAAAACCACTGATATTTTAAAGATTTAATTTTATGCAGGACAATCTAAATCTAAGTAATGCATTAAAATCTTTACTTTCTATCACACCACAAGCCCTGCCCCCAGAAAGTTTCACTCCGTTTATGTGCATTTGCTTGGAGGGCTTGGTCACTCCTGAGTCTCTTTGTTCTCCCTGTCACATTTAGTCACACACTTCCTTGGGTTATAGCTACCAGTAATATCACCAAGCTTCCAAAGTAATATATATGTATCTCCCTGCCCCAGGTAAATGATTGTTTTAGGGCAATGAATCAAAAAAGGGTTTGTCTATTGGATGGGCCGCTTTGGCATGACTTAGGAACTTTTCTATTCCCTGCCCTCCTAGAACCATCAAGATGGTAGGACAGGTCAGCATGAGCCAGCATTTTCCACAACTGTAAGTGGGTAGGGAATGATTTGAAGAAAAAATCTACAGGAAATGTGTAGGCTACCGAGGCCAGAGAAAGAAGAAAGTTGTCAGCAGTTTAGACAATAGAGGTTTCTACTTCCTGGGTGGGGTCCTTGTTGGAGAGATTGCCTGAGATATTGTCAGATTCAAGTAGTTCCACAATGCTGTAGGGAGAACAATCCTCTAGACCCAGCTTGCTGCAGAGCCAGCCACAGAAGCCTTTCTCCATGTCCCGGGCAGCTTGCCACCATGCTCCCCAGGACCATGAGAGCTGGACCACAGCAGCATAGAGGCCCAAAGAAGAAGCCATAGCCATGATGAGCAATGGATAGAAGAGAATGAGGCAGGGGCAATAGGAGACCTTGTGCCAGAAGGTCCTCTCCTCATTATACACAAGGAAGATGTTGTACCAGGTGATAGTACCGTAATAGAAAGAGACAATGAAAGAGAGGATGAAAACTACAGGCAAGCAGACCAGTGTCCACAGGACCACATGGGGCCCCTGGTCTGCCCCCACCTGGCAGGCCTTTCTTCCTTCTGGTGCTGTTTCCCTTGTTGACTCTTGGGGCTTGGTCAGTTCCTGTAGCTCCTTTTCTGTCAATGTGACATGGATGTCCACCATCTGTCCTTTTTTCTTCCCTCGTGTGATGGTCCCAGTTAATGTGACATAGCGGCTGTCCAAAGGCATGTTCCATATACCTGCAGGGCACAAAGGAGCTGAGCTCAATATCTGAACAGGAATATTTCAGCATATTGTCATTGCCTGAGGCTGGGGCTGAGTATGGCGATGTCCTTTTTAATAGTATCTGGCATAGCAGTGGTCGGAATCAGTGACTCAGTAGTAGACCAAATAAATAGGTCTGGCTCCACAGGTCTGGACCCTGATGAAACTGTGAGGTTAAACTTTTTTCTTATTCTCTCTCCATTTGGGGGGATATCACTCTTGGCATGATCTCTGTGACATGGAGGGAGTGAAGAACTTTACTACAGACCCCACTTTATAATGATCATATTGCTAGTCAATGAGTGCTAAGAATGTATTGTTTATGAGTGTCAATCTGTGTGTTAAGATTGCATTTGTGTGCATTTGTCTGGTATGTGCGTTCTGCCTCATTTTCAGGGCCCAAGACAATGACAGGGGCTCTGACTGCCAGATAGAAGGGTTTCCTGTCCCCCCAAACCTAATGGTTTCCCAGACTCTTGTTTTTTGTTTTTGTTTTTGTTTTTTTGGTACCATGGATTGAACTCATGACCTCCTGCTTCTGGGGCAGGCATGGTGCCACAGAGCTAAATCCCTGGCCCCACAGACTCTTTCATCTCATCAAATAACACCACCATCTGTCCTCTCTACTCTTCCTGTCAAGGACCCAAAAGCCATTATCGAGTCCTGTCTTTTTCTCTTTCCCTACCTCCAACTCATCATCAAGTTCTATGGTGCATTTTGAATCTCGCCTCTCTTCTCTAACTGCCCCCTGTTGTCACCTTAATCCAAGCTTCTGCAGGGGTGCCACTGCAGCTGCACTGACAGGACCTATCACCTTCCACTTTGCTTTCTGTAGTCCATTCTTTATAGAGGAGCCAGAGTTAGCTTTTAAAAATGCAATGAGACAACATGTCTCTCCTGCATAGAGTCCTTCATCGGCTTCCCCTCCATTAATAACAATTTCCAGACCCTTTACTATGACCTGCACAGCTCACCATGATCCAGCCTCCATCTCCATTCCTAATCTCATCCTCATCTTTCCCCTTGCTCTCTGTACTCCCTACCAGAAACAACCCCATTCCATAAATGGCCAATGCTGCTCTCTCAAGGCTTTTGCCCTTGCAGTTCCTGCTTTTCAACACTCTCCCCATCTATTCTTTTTTTTTTTTTTTTTTTTTTTTGGTACCAGGGATCAAACTCGGGTCCTTGCGTTTGCCAGGCAGGCAGCAGAACCACGGAGCTAAATCCCCGGTCCTCCCCATCTATTCTTTACTGGTACCTTCATGTCTTTTAGCACAGCTCAGATGTCACTTCTTCAGAGAAGCCTTCCATGAGCACAGAATCTCCCCCTCACCATACTCATCTTCCCATCACCATGGTTTTACTACCTTTGGAACTCATTCCACTACTGGAAATTATCTTTTATTTGTTGACTCCTTCACTGTTGGCTTTCCCCTGACTAGACCGTCAAGTCTATTAGAGAAAATATGTTGCTTGTTCACTGAGGGCATGACTCAGACATGTATCTATCTGTACAATAGACCTACCTCATCTCTCCATTGCTGCACAAGAATTCTTAGTATAGACACACCACAGTTTTCTGAGCAACAGCAAATACTCTTATACATGCAGAAATTACGCATGTTTCCTGAGATGGGAGATACTGAGGATTTCTGGGACTCAGGCATGCATATTTTGAATTTTAATAAATATTAACAAATTCCCGACAAAGTTGCTGAAGCAGATTCCACTTCTACTTGAGATGGATGAGAGTAAATGCATTTCCTCATATTAATGTTGTATTTTACCCAGTTTTTGGCAATCATGCATGTGAAGGAATACTATATATTGTTGTTAACATAATTTGCATTTTCCTGACTATTGTGAAAGCCAGCAATTACTGTTTCTTTATTTTACATGAAATGATTAGCATGGTCTGTTCTGGTTACTAATTTTTGTGTAGAAATCAGCTTCTTTGATTAGGAATTCTAAAAGAGTTAGATCTCTTCCCTACCACCTAAAATAGAACACAGTAGATACTAAGTATATAGTATTGGTTTGCTGAATGACAACAGCAAGGTGAGAAATGTAAGAAATTCGCTAAGAAACAGATCCCTGTCTGTCTCCTGAAGAGAAGATCCTCTTTTGGTTTCCTTTCTATGGTTTTGAAGGGGTACCCAGAAGGACTCACCATCATCCATGGGATAGTCTAGGAAATCCTCTCCTTCCTCCTCTTTAGGTTGATCTCCACCTTCTGATTCCTCAAGCTCCTCATCCATGTTCTCAGTATCAGACCGGTAGATGATGATAGATTCTGGGCGAGACTCTTTCTTCTTCTTTTTCTTCCGACCCATGGTGGATTCCCCATCTAGAGCCAAGGCAGCAGCCACAGCCCTCCTCAGAGAGCCCTGCTGAGGACTTGGGAGCTGGTCTTGGCCTTCCACTGGTACAGGTTCTTCCATCCCAGTCCTGATATCTAGTTGTGCCTTATAAAGAGTATAACTTGCTTGAGAAAGCTCACGATCCACACATCACACTGCTTCTTCCTGGAGGGAGCTAGGTAAAGATGTCCTGACCTTGCTGAAGGATAAGAAAGCAAAAACATGGGATGACATGGAAAGAGACTTGGGGAGCCATCCCCAACTTGGCAGAAGCCTTCCCCTCCCTTTACTTCTCTTAACACTTTATTATGGCCATACCACCCTGAACACTCCCAATCTTGTCTGATGTTTGTTAACACTTTATTGTGGGAGTCCACTGGAAATTCTCTTTTAATGATTGAATAAAATTTTAGTCGTGTAACAATTTTGTCATTTATACAAATGTATGGTATTAGAAGAAACCCATCAGTTGTATTGGGGGATTCAGAGTATAAGGAAGTTGATGAGGAAGACTTCAGGCAGTGAAAGTTAAAACCAGTCTCACTCCCATGACAGAAGGAGACAGAGATAGCTAGGATCAGAATTGGGAACTTTTGGCTATTAAGTCATACATTACAACTATACCCAAGTGAAGGAAAGTAACTTTGAGAAAGCCACTCAAAGATGGTGCAGCTACTCCAGCTGCATCTACCTTGCTATTCTGTAAAGGAAACTAATCTCCCGGTTTTTGTTGATCCAAGACCCCAGAAAGTTGCAGGAAATCTGTGCTATCACAGAAAGCAGTAAAGAGGATTTACTTTCACTTTTTACACTCCATCTTCTTTTTGTTCTCCAAGTAAATAGAGGCAAGAAGAAAGAATCTATGTAGTAGTATCTTTTAGGGAAGATGTTGTATTCTTGGTGTACTGTTTATGTCTGTAAAACAATCTTGGCCTAATATTGATTTTATATAGAAGGAATAAAAAACTTTATGTGGAATTTGAAATTTTTAATCCAAGGTACACAAAGAAAATGAAGAGGACTGAGGAGCTCTGACCCTTAAATCCAGCTGATCTCTCAAGAGGCTACAGTCCATCTCTGAGCTTGAGCCATTCAGAGGGCTGCTCTCAATGCTGCTGCTAAAGATATATAAATTAGAAAATATTCAGCTTGTCATATCTACGTTGCTAGCTATTCATATGTGTCTTATAAAATAAACCTACAAAACCCTAGACATGATATTAGAGAAAGTTTTAAACATGTATAACGAGAGTCACTGTTACGGAAAATGACAAATCTAGATAGAAAGAAGAATTATTTTAGTGAATCTTCCTTGTACTCGCTGCCTACTTTCAACAATAATCAAAATATTCAGTCTTTTTTCATCTCCTTGTATTTAGAAGCAAATCCAAGACATATCATTTCATTTCAATTTGCATCTCTTACCTGTTAGGATTTCCTTATTTAAAAAATCACAATAGTATTATCACATAAAAAAATTCTATTATTTTTAAAAAATAATTCTTTAATACCATCAGCTATCCAGTTGGCTCAACTTTCCCTGTTAGCTTAGTATTTTAGGAGAATTTTCTTGAATAAGGATCCAAATAAGGTCTACAGAATTTGAGTGGGTCCTACACTGTTTGCATCTATAGCAGTCCTGTCCAGTGAAACTTTCTGCCTTTACCTCTGAAATGAGGCTGGTACAACTGAGGAACAGTATTTTTAATTTTATTGGCTTTTTACTAACTTACACTTAAATAGCCACATAAAGCTACCGGCTATTATATTGGATGGTGCAGGTCTATATGTCTGCCCTCTGGTTGTTGTTTTTTTTTTCCCTTGTAATTTATTTGTTTAAAAAAGCAGGTTATTTATCTTGCAGATCTTTGTGTCTGGGTTTTTGCTGATGGTATCCCCACAGTACGCTCCTCTCCACCATACTGGTGCTATAAATTAATGACTACATCAAGACACTTGATCCGATTCTGACTGGAATTTTCGATTGGTTGGTTGTTCTGGCGAGATAATTTTATGAATGGTGTTTTATATTTCCATCAGAAGGCACCTGATTTCTGGTGGGGTTATACCCACTAATTCAGTAAGGGGTCACAAAATGATTACATTTTATTTCTCTCACTTCTTTGTTTCTTAGCCGAATACTCTCAAGCACTTTAAAAAAATCAGTTTTAAACTTGGTGGAAAAGGCCAACATCCCTGTCATTATACAGTATTATTGGCATGATACTATGAAATAGTTTATGAATTACATTGACAGCTTCTACTGATACAAAATTTGTCAAACTGTTTACCAAAGAGGTTCCTGTTTTCAAATAACTGTATTTATTATTGAGAAGTGTCAGGTTCTACTCACAGCCCTGCACCTCACATTCCCCAAACTGTATGTTCCCAACTCCAGGTTTGTGGTTTTCTGCTGCTACCATTTCCCAAATCTCTTTCTTTCAGATCTGAATATATCCTTCCTGTCAGTACCACATGTACACCACTTGGTATCCCTTTATTCTCAATAGTAAAGTTTCTTCTCCTCTAATTTCTTTTTTTTTTTGTACCGGGGGATCAAACTCAGGACCTTGCGCTTGCCAGGCAGGCACTCTGCCGCTGAGCTGAATCCCTGGCCCTCTTCTCTAATTTATATCCAATAGTTCCAGTATTTAGTGACCTGGCTCAGTGGGCATAACTTGGATGGGGACAGAGGGTGGTCAGAAAGAATAGTTAAACTAAACTCTACATGCTGTTCAATTTGAAGTAACTCTAATGACTGAAAATTATACATTTTTTATATTACCATGTAAAAGGGAAGAATCTAAATTACATTTCTTCAAATGTCAAAAACACCTTTTTGTATCACTTCAATGTTTCTGAAATTTGGATACATGTTATGCCTACACGAACAACTACTTTGACCTACTGAGCAAACAGCAGCTACCTCCTACCTTCTCACACAGTGCTTCCACTATCCTTAATCACTGATTTTATCTAATTCTCCACTAGATACGAAAAGGTTATCTAGATAAGGAAAGGCAGGTTTGTTTTTTGTGTGTTTTGTTTTGTTTTTGAGACAGTGTCTCACTATGTAGTTGAGACTGACCTGGAACTCACTATGTAGCCCAGGCTGGACTGGAACAGAGATCCTCCTGCCTCAACCTCCCAAGTGCTGGGATTACAGGCATGTGCCACCATGCCAGGCTAAGGCAGGTTTTTGAGAGGGGTTTTTTTTGTTGTTAGTTTTTTGTTTTGTTTTGTTTTGGGTACTGGGGATCCCACTTGGGACCTTGTGCTTGTGAGGCAGGCAGTGGCATCACTGAGCTAAATCCCAGGCCCAGTGACAGAATTCAGATACTCAGGAAGAAATTAGCACTATCTTCTCATCATCTGACTTTGCCTTGGTTGCCTGTCTAAGCAGAAAGAGCAGTTATCTTTAATTTTTTTTTTTTTTTTTTTTTTTGTACGAGGGATTGAACTCGGGTCCTTGCGCTTTCAAGGCAGGCCACTGAACCACTGAGCTAAATCCCCAGCCCTAAATTTTTATGTCTTTTAAATAAGGCTTTCAAAAGCCGGGCGTGGTGGCGCACTCCTATAATCCCAGAATTTGGGAGGCTGAGGCAAGATTGCTGTGAGTTTGAGACCAGCCTGGACCAGCGTCTCCCTATGTAGTTGAGACTGACCTGGAACTCACTATGTAGCTCAGGCTGGTCTCGAACTCACAGCGATCCTCCTGCCTCAGCCTCCTGGGTTCTGAGATTACAGGTGTGTGCCACCATGCCCAGCATGTTTTATTTTTTATTAATCATGTTTGCAGTACATAATGATTACATTCCTTGTGGGGATTTGGTACACATACATAACACGTCTTAACTCTTTTTTCATTCACTTCTTCTCCCTTCCCTTCCCCTCACTTCCTTCCATCTCTTGATCCCCTCCCCATTTGAGAAAGATCTCTCTACTTCCTAGTATCTTTTTTTATTTTTCTTTTGGTACCAGGGATCAAACTCAGGACATTGTGCTTGCAAGGCAGGTGCGCGTGTGCCACTGAGCTAAATCCCTGGCCCCATTATCTTTAATTTTGCTCTTTATTTATATTTTGCGTTTCTTATGTAAGAGAAACCACATGATAAAAGTTTGTGTGCCTGATTTATTTCACTTAACATTATGGTCTCAAGGTGCATCTATTTTTCTGCAAATGGATTAGAAGCTATGATTCTTAAATTCAGCTGACCTCCAAGGATGCTGTGGGGCCACAGAGTTCATTTGACTAAGATGTCTATAAACATGAAGTTCTATACAAGAAGAGTCAGGGCAGAGGACTTACCCAAGGCAAATACCTCCAGAAGACAAAGAACTCAAGTATGAGAATATTGAGTAGATCTTAAGTGTTAATGAACTCACCCAGGGCTCCTCACCAAAGTAGCCCCAATAGAGAAGAGTGGATATCTACCCAGGTCAACTGGAGGTAAAGGCTGGGAGGACATCGTCCTCCTCAAGGTTAAAAGTTTCAAGTTTTCTTGTTAAAAATGTATGTGAATTTTTAATTCTACTAAGTGTCTGTGTTTAATACAGAAATGTTTTCCCTGATCTAATTCCTCTAGTAAAATGGAAACTCAGGTAATCCTATGATATAGATGCCCTCTGAGTAAACTATTTTATACCTACCTTGGGGGTATAGGTATCAGAGCTTGGGAGGTTATATGGTGACCCACAGTGTTTTCCTACTTAGGGTTTTTGCTTTCCTCTGTAGTTTCCTTCCCTGGCCTTTCTATGCAGTATGAGTTTCAAACTAGGAGTTTTGAGACTTTGAGCAGATTAAAGGAGCTGGGACAGAATTCATCTGCTGTACCTCTTCCCTTTCTTTTGAGATGAGCCAAGCAAGATATTCAAATAAATGCCAAAGAGTGCTGTGAGAGGCAAGTTGCATCCTCTTATTCTCTCCTATGTTAAGAGAGAGGTGCCTAGGAAGATGTAGTGAGGTAGAGTAAATTAAATACAGGCATGGAAGTGACAGCCATTGTTGATGGGCATCATACACATGAAAACGTGTGGCTTTCTATCTAATACTATTGTCTTGAGTGGCCACAATGGGAAAGACCAGTGTTAAACAAAAGAAAAAGCTTTCTGAGCCCAAAGATGGAAAAATACAGACAACAGGAGTTAAGAGACTTCAAGTCTCTTGGCAGGTATTGAAAAAACTTTGCCCCACCTATCAACTGATCCCACTGGGGGCACATTCCAGTATGCAGGGAAAGAAAGACATGACCTTTTGAGATCCTATTAAAAAATATTTGATGGGAAATATGAAATGCAAAGGGTTGGTGAGTTCCTAGTAATATCCCTTAGGAAACCATCCTTTCCTACTGACACAGATACTTTTACATGCTCATAATACAGATGCCACTCTGATTTACCTGGAAACATGATTCACAAATGCCCTATAATTAGAGGAGTACCCTTTGAGAATACAAAATATTCCTACTAACTTCAGAAAGGATGGACTATTTTTGAAATCATGGTAAAAACCAGACATCAAAACCAGTTTTAAACTCACTCAGTGAATCAACAACTTCCCTCAGTCATAATCATTCATCTTCCTAGATAAATTCAAACTGCTAGAGACCAGGAACTGTCTTACATTTCTTCTTCATCACCAATGGGAAGACTCTGGGGCTGGACATGTAGGTAAAGTCAGTATGTACTTATAAGCCTAATAGCAAAAGGAAAAATGCTCACTCAGAAATATAAACAGCTATTAAGAAGGGAAGTCTTAAATTTTCTTCCTCTCTTACCTTGTGCACTGAATATTATGGTTTTAGTGTTTGATATAAGAAGCAGGGGCTGGGTATTTAGCTCAGTGGTTCTGGCGCCTGCCTCACAAGTGCAAGGGCCCAAGTTCGAGCCCCAGTACCAAAAAAAGAAGCAGGTTCTAAGTATCTATTTATCCTTTTAGATTCTATAAAAGAGAGAGACAGACAGAGAGACAGAGAGTAAAAATAAATTCACTTCATTTCCAACGTTTTAATCAATGGAATTAGGAGAAAACATAACTTCATATTTTTCTTTTCTGGGAGTTAGGCTTTGCCCATCCTCCATGTCCACTCCAGGCCAAAAGTTCACTACTGAACGTGACACTGTAGATTATTAACGTCAATCATCTGTTACCTCTAAACTTTAAACATTCTCACAGAGAAAACAAGTATTAAATGATATATTCATACCCTGGAAGTCATGATTAGGAAAACTGCTCTTAAGCCATCATTGAAGGAAAGATAATTCATAAATTCATCCAGCAATTTCCCTATTTCCAGTACTACCACTCCAGTCAAAGAAACCATCAACTCTTGCACACAGTTCTAAAAAATGCTTCTTACCTTTTGATTCTACTCTTGCTGCCTTCCAATCAATTTTCCACTCGGGATCTTTGGAAAACATAGATAAAAAATTATGCTATTTTCTGCTTATAATCCTCCTTATACTTCCTGCTGTTGTAAAATGAAATCCAAACTTCTCATTTGACCTGAAGACTTGCAGATCTACCCCTCTTCTCCTGCTGTCTCCTCCTGTACCACCTCCTGCGTACCTACTATGCTGCCAACACAGTGGCTGCCTATGTTCTCTACAAAAGCACCAAGTAATTTCCCCTTTGAGCCTATGTAACTACTGTCTACTGTGGATAAGACGCTTCTCCAGCCTCACTGTATCACATGGTCACCTTTGTTCCCCCCAAGTCTCTGTTCAAATGTCACCTCTTCCGACTACTTCTTGACACCCAACCAAAAAAAAAGGTTTTTTCTCTCTCATTACTTTTTGCCACAACGGTTTGTTTCCTGAATAAGACTTACCAACAACTGGACATAATTATTTATTTATGCTTTTACTTATTTGTTGTCTATCACCTCTCCTAAACTACAGATCTATGAAGTGGTACCATACAAGTAGAACAAGTAGGTTTTTTGTTTTTTGTTTTTTGTTTTTTTTGGTACCAGGGATTGAACTTGGGTCCTTGCACTTGCAAGGCAGGCCACCGAACCGCTGAGCTAAATCCCCGGCCAACAAGTAGGTTTTTAAGTAAAAACATTTTAAGTGATTATGTGAGGTGGTAAAGGACTAGCGTGATTTTGTCAAAGAGAGCTTGAAGGGAAGTTTAATAAAGAGACATTAATAAACTCTTTATGTGCTAGTTATGGCATGATTGCTAGTTTCTCCTCCTTTATTTTCTACTTTTTAATAACAGAGATTTCAGCTTGTCACATGATCTGCTGATAAAGACATTTCCAAACATCCCTTGCAGCTAGGTGTGATTACATGACTAGTCTCTAGACAATAGGATGTGAGTAGATGTGAGTGTGCAACTTCTCTGGCTCTCTCCTTCCTCTTTTCACCTAGAGGACTGGAACATGGGCTGGATAAGCCATCTGCAGCCCATCTGACAATGCTACCACATAGCAGCAGAAGAATGAGACAGGAACAAAGCCACCCTGACAGCCATAAAACTTCTTCCTATGGACTGAAGTATGTGGGGAAAAAATACTTACCTTTTTTTCGTTCACAGTTATTTTGGTCTCCCAAAGCAGCCCCACAGAAATCCTAATTAATGCACTAGGCTAAGGTTAGTTTATATCCCAGTCACTGTGCTGTGTTTCAATCTGTCCACCCTGGGGCATAGGCAGGCTTTCCTATGCATTTCAGTGATGGAACACAAAATGTCATCATCCCTGTTAGTGAATCTGAACTCAGCTGTCCAATTCAAAGGATATCATACTGATACTGGTCAAGCTTCACCAGCCAATCATTGGAGAGCTCACTGTAGCCTGGTACACGATACTGTTCCTGGCTTATAATGAGATGGCCAACAACACACCAAGAGGAAGTTTTGTTAAAAGAAACCAACAGTTCTTATACATTCAGTAAAAATCCATAACTCCCAATCCCACAAAATGAATAAGGCTTCCCAGGTATAGAATCTTTGTTGAACTGAGTTATCAACAGGAAACCTGATCATCAGTCCCTGCTAGCCACATCCTATCCAATAAAAAACAAATGGCCTTCCATTTGTCATCTTTGGCTAACAAAGTTTCCAAGTCAGGGTGCCTTGTCCATTGGGACTTTTTACACCTTTCCCATATTGAATATGAACTTCTAGGGCTATAAGATGGGATGTTGTCATTTTGTTTGTTTGGGGTTTGTTTTGTTGTTTTTTGTTTGTTGGTTGGTACTGGGATTAAACTCAGGACCTTGCACTTGCCAGGCAGGTGCTATGCTGCTACATCCCTGGCCCGAGGGGTATTATCATTTTGAAGTTAGGTTACCACTACTACTGTGAATTGTTACCACTACTACCTGGCCCAATCCTCTTGCTCTTTAAACTGTTCCCTGATTTGTGTGTCTGTCACTCAAAGGATCACAAATAACCTATTTGGGATGGCCAGATTCTGCCAATTACATCTTAATTTACCACCAATAAAACATTCCCATTGCACCACTGAGAAATCACCAGTAGTCCTTCCCAGAGAGAAGGAGCTAGAAGATGGAAAGGAATTTGGCTCAGACGAGCATTAAGTGATTGGAACTGCATGCAGCAGCACCTTCAAATTCCCAGACTCCAGCCAACTGCTGTGATTAGGCTGTGCACACAGTCAGGCTTGCTCCTTCCTGGTCTTCTGAGGAGCATTTCCTAACTGATGTTGAAAGGCTCTCATACTGAGGCAGGTTCCACAGTATGTGACTGTCTAAAGGAGATAATTCCAGGCAGTGAAGGTCATATCCTTGCCGTGAGACCTATAGGACCTGATCTTTGTTCTCTAATCTTTTTTTTTTCTGTCTTACCTCTCATGGCACACGTATACTTTCAGTCTCCCACTCCCACTATTCCTACATGCTAGAATATAAACCATACAAAGACAGCAAAACCTTATTATCTCACTGCTGCACTGTATCCCAGTGCCTAGAGTATTTCTCTGCACATGGCAAGTGCTCAATAAATACTGGCTGAATACTGTGAACTGGTGAAGAGTCTTACTCATATGTGCTGGCTCAGGTGGTGTCTCGCTTCAAGGCAGGGGCAGGGCTAAAGCCTCATTAACATTTCTTCAGCTTGAATATTCTGGGAGTCTAAATGTTGACAATCATGTTAGTCTGAGCTGGCAGCTGCTTTGCAGAGCAGAGAAAAGGAAGTTATTGGGCAGATGGGGTGGGGGAGGGGCGGGGAGCTGGTGAACAGCAAAAGCATCACAGAAGAGGAAGGGAGTCGTTGCTAATGGGGTATGACAGAGCAGGGGCTGTGGAAGGAACATGGATACAGCAATGCCTTTTCCCCAGAACAAAGAGGGCAGTGATGCAGAACACAGGAAAGAGCAGCATTTGAGTTAGCTGAAGCAGTGGTCCGTGCAACATGTTATGTTGGCCCTGGGAAAGGACCGCTCAAGTGGAGCCAGAATTAAAATCTGAAAACAAAGCTCATCCAAGCAGCATAAGTACTGTACCTCTGAGCTTTAGGAGTTTAGCCAACTCTCAAATTCTGAGGTCATAGGCATGGACAAAGAGACCAGTGATTCCTGGTTTTTGTTTGTTTGTTTGTTTTTATTTTGGTACCGGGGATCGAACTCAGGCCCTTGTGCTCATGAGGCAGGTGGCGGCACCACTAAGCTAAATCCCCGGCCCTGACTCCTGGTTTTTAACAAAAAAATTCCTCAAAGAGATCCCATACCACTTAATCACAGGTCATGCCCAAATTGTGACAGTGAGTTTTCTGGCTGCTTGTGCTACTGAGGAGTGGCATCCTGTCATCCTCATGGGTGCCAGTGGCTCACAGGCACAGTCACTGTGTCACTGAAAGACATCAGAGTCCCTGTCTTGGTCCATTCAGTATTCACACAGAGGTACAGCCAGCTCCATACTCACCCCCCTCCCTGGCACAACTCTGATTATACACAGGTCCAGTCCTGGACAAAAGCACAAAAAATTATATCTTCACTATAATTATCTTTGAAAGAAATTTTAAATGCTCTCACCTTCCAGGGAAGAAAACCTGATACTTTCTAGAATAAGATACCTTGAGTCAATTATTTCTTTTCCTGTTTAAAAATATATACTTTTTAAGGGGGGCTAGGGATGGAGTGCTAACCTAGCATGTGCAAGGCCTGAAACAAAACAAAACAACCTTTGTCACTGGTAACAAAGCACCAGAAATTATATTTTTCTGAAACAATACTTTGAACTTTCTCATTCAAATTTACTTTTTTTAAGATGATGATGATGTTGTTGGTTATAGTTAAGCAGAAAGCAATACAATTCCACCATGCTAGCTGGTAGGAACCACAAGAGCTTTTTTCCCTTCTTTAGTGAATGTAGACTGGAATTCTTCAGCAGCAAAGCTAGAAGGTGAAGTGTTTCTAAAAACAGGTCAGACAAGGGCATAGGCATAGAGAAACAGGGAGAATATGTGGCTGTCCAAGAACTGCAGTCTTGCTGGTAAGAGCAACACCGTGGAGGAAGTGATTGTCTGGTTCCACTTGCAACCAGACCCATTTCCAATTTGCTTAATGAACTGTAAGTGGTGGACCTAACAACAACAAAAGACATTTGTTGGCCTTTACATTATTTTAATATCTAGCAAGTAACCAACTTAGAAATAGCATCCTGCCTGGATTAAGATCGCTGCACCTGGTACATTCTCTAGTTCTGCAAAGTTTTAAGTAAGAAGAAGCGGAATCTGTAAAATAAATCCCTGTTATTGGGCAGCAACGCGCAGATGAGAAATTTCCCGCATCCTCAGCAGCTAAGCACTCGGCTTAAGAAATGAACTAGAAGGCAAGCTCTCACACATAAACCTACAGGCAAGTCTTGCAGGAAGTATATACCCTCCAATGAGAGATCTTTTTTATCTGCTTTGTGCCGGCTGAAGAGGACCAGATCACAAATCTGGTCAAGGTTGTTTCTTCTAAATACCCGGGTGAGGTGCAGGCAATGAAGTGGAGGTGGGCCAGCGTTTATCTTTTAAATCATTTATTATTTGGGTTCTGTGCATAGCTACCACCGCACCTCCTCTACCCCTTGAAACCTTTCCCCGGGCCTGCCTCCCTGAAATTGAAAGGGTCTGGAAGCCGGATTTCTTCCGCCTCACCTAAGCCTGCCCCTACTCCCCTTCCCAGGCAACAACACAACCGCTGGAGCCCAAACAAGGCCCGAACTCTGGACGGGCGCAGCAAGGGCCAGGAGCGAGAGCCTTTCTTTATTCAAATGCACTAGAGTTTTAATCTAATTAACCCTAAGAGCTATGGCCCAGAGGATTGAATTTTTTAAATAGCGCAATCCTCGCTTTGTATTATTTTGGGGGGGCATGTCCTTTTCCCTTCCCCAAATGATATCGAAAAATTTTTTAATTAAAAAAAAATTTTAATGAAGGAGGAGTCTCACCCACACGTGCCAAGGAACCGACGCCCACGGAGGATGCAGACTGGGAGAGGCAGCCACCAGGGAGCGATCCAGCCCGGGAAGAGGCAGCGCTGCCAACTAGTGGGGCGGGGCCGAGGGCTGAGCGGCCCAGACGGTCACGTGGGCTCCGGTCCTTAGCCCCGCCCACGTCTGCAGATTTTCTAGACCTGCGCGTAGAGCGGTCTGCTTGGTAAGAATCTCAAGGCGATGGCTTCTTGGATAAAGTACGGGAGCTGCCTGGCGCCCGGCTTGCTGCAGAACTATACGGCCATTGTGACCGGCGGGGGCACGGGCATCGGAAAAGCCATCGCCAAGGAGCTCCTGCACCTTGGTACGGAGCAGGCTTGGGCCTGGGACCAGAGTCCGCAGAGGTCTGGCTGTAGTCACCTGGGTTTCCGTTCTAAGGGAGCTGACGAGGCTAAAGCAAGGAGGGGTTGTGGAGCAAAGGAGCTGTAGAGGTGAGCCAGGTAGGAAGAAAGAAGGAGGTGATCTCTGGGAAATCAGAAAAATCAGAAAAATTACAGAAGCATTGACAGATGAGCCACTAAATGGAAGGGCAAGGGGCAGAGAGCCGCAGACTCTGCTCGGAGGCAACTGCAGGTACTTAGTGAAAATTAGTCCATTCTAAACGCTACCTAATCCTACAAATTAGTAAACACGTGGAGACTTCCTTAACTAGAAGAAACTTACCCCACGGAATATTCCGATCTTATCTTCTCACATCTCTTGTTAAAACCAGCAAGAAAATAGAGGGAATATTTACCTTCTGGTGGGTGGAAAAGAAGCTTGGAAAATATACACAAGGAAAGAAGCCACAAAGGGGAACACAGTTAAATTTACTCCTATGAAAATATAAATCTTCAATGAGTTAAAAAATATATAAATGACATTTGAAGGCTAGGAAAAATATTTACAACGTAAGAAAAGTAGTTTTATTACGTAAAAAGCTTTTGCAAAAAAAAAATCAAAGAACCAAGATACGCACCAAAAGACGAACTACATATAAACAATAAGTTTTTAAGAAAACAATCAACTTTATTGGTGATATATACAAATAAGAAAGTCATTTTGTTTTTGTTTTGGTATCGGGGATCGAACTCGGGTCTTTGCATTTGATAATCATTGTTTTTATAGAAACTTTAAAACATTGAGGGGCCGGGGATTTAGCTCAGTGGTTCCGCCGCCTGCCTCGCGAGCATGAGGACCTGAGTTCGAGCCCCTGTACCAAAAAAAAAAAAAAAAAAAATTGGGGAAAATGTAAGTGCTGTTAAGAGAATGAAAAAGGCAGAAAGAAATATAAATTATTACCTTTCTGGTGGGCAAATTGGAAAAAAAATCCAAAATCCTTTACAGTGTTCATGTTCTGTGACCTCTTTCAGCTGTTACTCTAAGAGACTGGACAAGTAAAGATTTGTATACAAGAAGGTAGTGTTATTTGAGTAGTGAAAACTTAGAAATAACCTAAATATCCATTATGAGGGAAACAGTTAAATCAATAACAATGAGATATTATGCTTGCATTTCTGTTATTTTGTTTGTTTGTTTGTTTGTTTTCTTGGTACGGGGGACTGAACTTGGGCCCTTGCATTTGCGTGGCAGGCAGCAGAACCACTGAGCCAAATCCCTGGCATGCTTAACATTTCACTATCTTGCTACTAGAGACTTTATGTGGAGAAGTGTGTATCCTGTAATTGAAAAAAGTGACATTCTAAAAAAATAATACTTTATTTTGCTAATGAAAAAAAAAAATATATATATATATATGGAAAAAAGGACTAGAAAGTTCATAACACTGTTAACAATCTTTCTAAAAATAATTACTTTTCTTTCTTTTTTATGCCACTGGGGATTGAATTCAGAGTCTTCTGTATGCTAGACAAGGGCTCTACCACTAAGATACAGCCTTGGCTCTTTTAAGAATTGTTTATTTTGACATAGGATCTTGTCATCTTGACCAGGCTGACCTTGAATTTAAGGTCTTCCTGCTTCAGTCTCCAGATACCTTGGATTACAGGTCTGTGCCACCTCGCACGGCTCAAATGTTTTTTACATGAACATGTTCTGGAAACAAAAAAAGCAATAGAGTTTGCTAAAAATTATAGGTGAATCGGGCATATTGAATTATTTTTTGAAGTTAGGCTTATCTTGTTAGGAAACTAAGGCATTGTTTTTCATGTTTGTATTTTTAAAAACTTCTCAGATTGCCCATTGGAATTCCCAAGTTATCACCATTTGGAGTTTATTAATTACAACCTAAACTTGAAAAATATATTTTTAATTTAAAACTCTTAATATCTGAGTTTTCTGTTTGTTTATTTGTTTCTTGAGATAGGGTCTCACTCTGTAGCCCAGGCTGGTCTCAGTTTTCCTACCTCAGCCTCCTGAGTAGCTGGGACTATACATGCCTCACCTTTCATAGCTAAAAAAAGTAGTTTTAAAAGTGCTTTATTTCAAGATGCAGTAGTGAGCTAATCCTATGTCACTAAAATAGTTCTGGACAAATGAAGAACCATGTTCTTGATGGTCTTCATTAACTTATGCCTTCAGCATGTGACTGTTGGAGTAGACTGTGTGATAGCATAACACTTGCAGCAAGGACTGTTAGGTAAACAGGTAAATGCTGTGTGAGGGTAAAGACAGGGATATAGGAGCATATAGAAGGATCAGTGAGCCTAAGGGAGAGGGAAGAAGGTTAGCGGGCTTTTCAGAGGCAGTGAGCTCTTCCATCTCTGCTTCAAGGCTGACTGAACATCTGCAGTGTAATATCTGGCATATATAAGACATGAATGTTTAACCTTTTAAGAAACTATCAAATAGCCTGTACCAATATATCCTCTTGGGGAATTGACTCCTATCTATGGAATATACTTTCTTATCCCTGGGGAAATTCTTTGATCTGAAGTCTACTTTGTCAAGCATTAATATAGCCACTCCAGCTTGCTTTTGACTGGTGTTAGCAGAGTATGTCTTTATTCTTTTACTTTTAACTCTATGTGTTTCTTTAACTTTTAGTGTGTTTCTTGTATGTAATACATAGTTGGGTCTTGCTTTTTCATCCATTCTTAAAGTTTGTGTTGTTGAATTGGCTCTTTAGACAATATGTATGCCGTGTGAGTTTCAGTATAGTTAAATTTAAATCTATCATATTGTTATTTTTATTCTATTTCTCCCATCTGCTCTTTGTTCCTATTTCATTTCCCTTGTTTCCTGATTTCTTGTGCGTTATTTAATATTGTTGCTTGTCCTATTATCTCCTTTCTTTTTAACATTTTAGCTATAAAGCATCTTTATATTTTAGATGTGGGTTAGGGCTTTATAGTATACATATTAGGCTTATGATAGTGTATCTTCCACGTCACACAGAATGTAAAAGCCACATCATACTTTATAGGTACTCCTCATTTTGCATGGCATTTGTAAAAACAGACAATAATTTGATTCAAACTGAAACCATGCAAAGCAAATTTAGTAATCAATGGAGGAAATTACAATTGTTTCATCATCTTCAAGAATTTTTGTCAACGCATTAGAAATTCTTATACCATCAGTTATAAATGTATGAGGAAATGAAATAAAACTAGTAAAACTAGACCAAAGCAGTTTGACTCTATGGGGAGAGGTTGATGAAAAGGGTACAAAGTTTTAGAAGGAGTAAATTCTGATGATCTGTTACACGACATGGTGACTCTAATTAATGGTCATTTATTATCTATTTCAAAATAACTAAAAGAGTAGATTTTTTTAATGTACTTACTAGAAAGAAATGGTATGGAAGGTAAGATGTGTTACATAGACTGATTTGAACATTCCACAGTGTATACACATATAAAAATATTATATTATACCTAATAAAGATGTACAATTATTTATCAAATGAAAATAAAATTTAAAATAGTAAAATAATGGAGCTGGGAATTTACCTCAGTGATTCCTCCGCCTGCCTCGCAGATGCAGGCTCCCGAGTTCAATCCCTGATACAAAAAAAATTTAAAAATAAAACAGTAAAATAATATCTTCACTACACTGTAACTTAAAATGTTAGCAATAGTAAGTATTAAAGCACTTTATTTCTATGTGGAAAACTTACTAAGAATAGTCTGAATATAGGAACACACAAAATACTGTCTATACAATATTATTGTTACAATTTGGACAATTCCTGAAAGATACTTGTTTTCTGTTTCTTTGCTTCACAGGGTGTAATGTGGTCATCGCATCCCGTAAGTTTGACAGACTAAAATCTGCTGCAGAGGAGCTAAAAAACACTCTGCCTGTCAGCAACAAGGCTCAAGTCACTCCCATACAGTGTAACATCCGGAAAGAAGAGGAGGTAATGCGCATAGCTGTACCATGTACTACTCAGGCTCATTTATAGAACCTGGCTGGGCCTCAGGTTCTCCTGGGATAGCTGTCTCAGATGAGAATCACTAGAAATAGACTGTGTGCAGAATGTTGTGCTAATGATTGAGCCAGTGGCTTCAGGAGGAGAGAAGGAAAGACAACAGAGGCACCAAGCAAGGATGAGGTCTCAGCTAGACACTTCCTTCTGTGTTTTTTGCCCCATAAGACATCTCTTAATGTTCATTTTGTCCCAATTTCATCATCATCCATTACTTGAGGTTAGTACTTACAAATTAATATGTCCAGAGCCTGTTGCACTTAGAACTATTCTAGACTCTTGGATGTAACATATCATCAAAAGTACAATTTTAGCTTTATGACCAGTGGGTATTGAAATTATACAAATTACTCATTTGTATAAATTTTTTAGGTTTAGTTAATGTGGATTTCATATTTATGGTTGTAGTACTCAGTTACTGTTCACTATGAGAGACTGCAAGCTCTTTGTACGCTGATAGAACATGTGATGGGTCTAAGTAGCAAGTGAGGTTATTAAAAATTTAATGTTTTTCTTTAGGTGAATAATTTGGTGAAATCTACCTTAGCTCTTTATGGTAAGATTGATTTCTTGGTAAACAATGGTGGCGGCCAGTTCATGTCTCCTACTGAACACATCAGTTCAAAGGGATGGAATGCTGTGATTGAAACCAACCTGACAGGCACCTTCTATATGTGCAAAGCAGGTGAGCATCATGATATCCACTAAATGTTTCTGTCTTGACTGAGACACTATAGAGAATACAGAAAAAGAGACTATCACGGACACTGTCTCAATTACTTTTTTGTCTCTGAGAGACAATACCCAACAACCACAACTTAAAGGAGAAGTGTTTATTTTGGCTTGTGTTTCAAACTATAGTTAGCTGGCTCCAAGGTAGGACAGCATGGCACAGAGGCATAGAAGACAGGAAGCAGAGAATCAAAGGAGAAGCTGGGAAGGCACATATACCCTCTGGATCATGCCCACAGTGATATGCCTCTTCTGACCAATCCCCAGCTCTTATCAGCAAACCAGCTATAATGCCCTCATAATTCATCACTTCCCAAAAGTCACACCTAAGAATGCATGAGGATTTCAGGGGATGTAAACCATAACATTTCACCCCTGGCCCCCAAAAGACTCATGTGCATCTCTTTATGCAAAACATAGGCCAGGCGTGGGGACACACACCTGTAATCCCAGCACTTAGGAGGCTGAGGCTGGAGGATCGCTGTGAGTTCAAGACCAGCCTGAGCTACATAGTGAGTTCCAGCTACATAGTGAGACCTTGTCTCAAACAAACAAATAAAATGCATTTAGTCCATCTCTAAGAGTCAGCAGTTTCATCATTACTGAAAAGTCCAAGTCCAAAGTCCAAGTCTTCTGAGACTCAAAGCAAACTCTTGGCTGTGAGCCCTATGAAAATAAAAAACAAAGTTAAACACTGCTGACACACAAGGCCCAAGGTAAGCATTTCCATTCCAAAAGGCAGGAATAGGAGCACAGAAACCAATGGGATCAAAGCAAGACCCAAACCCAACAGGGCAAACATTAACTCCTATAGCTCTAGATTCTGCACCCAGGGCAAGTTGTACTGAGATGAGAACTCCAAAGGGCTCGGGTAGCATTGCTGGTGATTATAAGCCTCATGGCTTCTGTCTTGGGCTGGCTTTGCTCGCTCCTTGTGGCGTTCCTCAGATCTTCCATGTTCCTGGCTTCTCCAACTTTCTGGCCTCTGTTTTGCACTTTTGGCTTAACTCTTGAAGTGTTATACGCTGCTCTCTTGGCCACATTTACAGGTCTTGTGAAATCTGGGTGGATGTCTCCCAGACCCTACAACTCTTGAATTTTTCATGCTTATAAAATCAGCACCACATAGATGATGCCAAGGTATGCTTCTTGCTCCATTTCCACAATAACCCACATCTTGTGAACAGATGCCACCTCTTAACAGTCAGTCAGCTATAAGACCTATAATCCAATCACCTCTCAAAAGCCCCACCTATCTAATCATAACAAATATTTTTGCTTTCAGTCTATGTATTTCTTGGATGAGGTGTGTTTCCTGTAGGAAATACATGGTTTCATTTTGGTTTTGAGGGTTGGTTTGTTTGTTTGTTTGGTACCAGGGATGGAACTCAGGACCTTACTCTTGTAAGGCAGGTGGCAGAACCACTAAGCCAAATCCCCAGCCCTCATTTTGTTTTTGATTCAATTTGCCAGTCTGTGTCTTTTGATTAGGGAATTTTTTTTTGGGGGGGGGTTTTGAGACAGGGTCCCACTACGTAGTTCAGAATGCCCTGGAACTCACTATGTAGCCCAGGTTGGTCTCGAACTCACAGCGATCCTCCTGCCTCAGCCTCCCGAGTGCTGGGATTACAGGCATGCACCACCACGCCCAGCTTGGTTAGTGAATTGAGTCCATTGATACTTATTATTCTAAGGAGTTTATTGGACCCTGTCATTGAATTATTTTTCCAGTGCTGATTTTGTAAAATAACTAATCTCCAAGTTAAATGTATGATTTCCTTTGGGCTCTTTGGTACCGGTGGTCTCCCTATCTCTGTCTATGATCCCCCTAATTTTTTTGCCCTAATTATTTTCTGTACTGATGATTTAGTGGTCGTATATTTCTTTAGGATTTCTTCATTGTAGAAAGTCTACTTTTCTGTCATTTTTGTTTTGTTTTTGTTTTTTTTTGTTTGTTTGTTTTTTGAGACAGGGTCTCACTATGTAGTTGAGACTGACCTGGAACTCACTATGTAGCCCAGGCTGATCTCAAACTCACAGTGATACTCCTGCCTCAGTCTCCTGAGTGCTGGGATTATAGGCATGTGCCACCATGCCCAGCTCTTCTGTCATTTTTGAAGGCTATTTTGTTTCATGGTGATCATATTTTTTTAACTGAAAAACAGAATATGTCCTGTGATAATATTGGAACAAAGAATTTGACAGTGAAGCTGCCCTTGAAAATGTAAGGAATTTGAATTTGAATGCCTGAACCATTTAAAAAATACATTTATATATATTTACTATATTTCAGATCTCATCCATATTATTTATGTTCAGTTATTCTTAATTATTTATTTTGGATACTTAAGAGAAAGTTGCTTATGCTCAAATGTCAATTTTTTTAATTTTTAAAGTTATAGAGGTACACTTTTTTTTTTTTTTTTTTGGTACTGGGGATTGAACTCGGGTCCTTGCGCTTGCAAGGCAGGAGGTACACATTTTTGTATCATTTGCTTTTCCACTAGTTTGTTGACCACCTTTTTAGAATTTGGGGTTTTTTGTAATGATTCTGTAATCTTTTTTTTTTTGGTACAAGGGATTGAACTCAGGACCTTGTGCTTGCAAGGCAGGTGGTGAAACTACTGAGCTACATCCCCAGCCCCAATTCTATAAACTTTTAACATTTCAATTCTCATATATGATATTTTTCATAAGAAAACCACATTAGGGGCCAGGGATTTAGCTCACTAGTGCCACTGCCTGCCTCACGATTGCAAGGTCCTGAGTTCAATCCCAGTACCAAAAAAAAAAAAAAAAAAAAAAAAAAGAAAAGAAAAAGAAAAGAAAACCACATCAGTGAGCTTTTCTATGTAGGAACCCTCTGACATTTCTCAGAGGCCAGAGTGCTCTCTTCTCTCTTATTTGTGGCCATTGCCGGTATAAAATAGTCAGGACTTGGTACCGGTGATAGAGTAGATAGCAAAGCAGCCTTTCTGTAAGCCATCAGGGAGCTGTGTGGTATTCCTGTTTTACAGATGATGGAACTGTATCTCCAAGAGCATAATAAAAGTTTATCTTGTGTGCAGGCTGGAGACAAATTAAATTGTTGACGGTATCATGTGGTTCAAGCATTTCTGCATGGTGGCAGCTAAGGAAAATCAGCTTTTTTTTTTTTTTCACTTTTTTGGTTAGCCACTCACAGTCCTTAAGAAGAAGGTAATTTCTTATACAGTTGCTCTCAAATTTGAGTGCACATCAGAATCTCATATAGAGAATTTTTAAAAACAGTGTCTTGGGCAACCTTCCAGAGTTTCTGATGAAGTAGATCTTGATGGGACCTAAAATTTTGCATTTTTAGAAAGATTCCAGGTGACCAAGTTTTTAGAACCACTGGTGTAATGCATTACATAGAAGAGTTAAATTAGGGATATACTAGGAGCCGGAGATGTTGCTTAGCAGCACAGCACCTGCCTGGCAAGCGCAAGGTCCTAAATTCAATCCCAGTACCCCCCCCACTCCAAATTAGGGGTCTACTATGTAGAGACCCTGGAATGGAAGGCAGCGATATAAAGATAAGAAAAATTCTGATGTGAGTAGCACACTATTAGCTTCTGTTTTCCCAAATAAGTTCTGGCTGGGATCATGAGCCTTATAGTTCTCAGAAAGTGCCCTGCTAAGTCTGGAGAGAAGAAATAAGAGAATGGTGTGAGAAGGTTGAATGTGAAACAGTTACATGCTATGAGACCATTACCAATAATTAGCTTAGATGGCCAGTTTTTTTTCGGATTTAAAAAGATTTGTCTTTGTGGGTTTTTTGTTTTTTTTTTGTAAATTTTTCTATTAATTGTAACCCAGAGAAGAGCATTATTATGAACTGAAAGATTGACTGTTAGTATTCCCTTTCTCAAACGCCTTTAAAAGAAGTACAGAGTGCTAGATTAGAAATAGAATTTGGGGACTAGAAGGAAACCTTTAGCAGTATCTCCTTTATTCTCATATTACAGGTAAGGAAATTATTTCACGTCTTTGCTAATAGCTTATTCTACTTAGTGACTGGAGTAACACACTGAAAACAAACCTTATTTTCTGTTATCAAAGCTTAATCTTTTTTTTCTTTCCTAGCATGTTATCTGGACCCTTTTTTTTCTTTTCTTTATTTCACTAAATGGAGATGACGAAACTGTATATTTTGGTCCCAGGAAAAAGAATAGTTGAAAGTCTTTATGTATACAATTTTAACTTGAACCTAACTTACTAAAAGTACGTTTTGTCTTCTCTAGGATTTCCTTTACATTAGTTCAATATGGAAATAATACATAAAATAGTAAAAATGATTTTAAGCAAGTTAGATAAACTGAGTTTTATAGAAGATGGTCAGATAACTTCTAGTTATTTTAAATTGTTTACAAGACAGGATGTAGTTAGTAGTAGAGTCCAACTCCAATTCATCTGACTTTAGCACTTTCTGAGTACCTGGAAATGCATTCATTTTTATTCTGTGCACAGGAGTTGTTCTGAGATGAGATGCCATGTAGTAATTCAGTTTTATTTTCTCATGTGAAGTTAATTGTGATTAATTTTAGTTTCTATTGCCATAGTCTGTCTTCCTTTAATTAATTAATCAGCAGTTATTCTTTGTTTACATTGAAATAGCATGGGAATCCAGTCATTTGCTCTTTAAAATGCAAACAATTAAGGACTATATTTTGAAACATCCATGTTCTCTTTACCTCCTTTCCTAGTTTGGATTTAGTGATCTATCACTGTAGCTACTGTATTGCAAACAGCTTTTAATTTCCCTGGCCCTATATTTTTTGGCTTCCCTTACCTGGCAAATCACAAAACTGATTAAATCTATCCTGGTCAACTTGTTTGTTGTAACTCAGAGCCAAACACAGATGGAGAAAAATAATTTTGTTGTTAATTTCACTTTCAGTACCAATCTCAATCTCGAATACACACTGAATACTG